ACGACATTCAGCTCTTTAAATATTTACACCAAAAAAGTTAGTCGTTCGACCTTAATAAAAATATTTATTTGTTACTTAAAGCCAGACATGTTAAATTAAAAAAATACCTATGTGAATTTTCAATACTTATTTTTAAAATTATAAAAAAGTATGGGATAATAGACAGAATTCTGTAAACTAATTTTCTTTTAACAACCGAAAAGTTAAATTAAAATTAAAGCATTTCGACATTTAAAGCCAATCCATAAATTTCATAATGATTTTGATACTATTGATACCCAATGTCATTTAGGCTCTTCAATTATTATAATATATAAAATGATGAAAGTTTGATTTTTATATACAACAAGGTTATAACAATTTATCAACTTTTAATTAATAATAAACAAACACTTATAAAGGTGAATACAGAAAACAAATGAATGATTTTGGCTTTTTTACAATATTGACATACATCTGCTCCGACTAGAATCAGAACACTGGCCAGAGTGTAGAATATACAATTATATATGAACTGCTAAATCAGCAGGGGAAGGTAACTATTACATCAATTATGTGAAGAAACTTTTCTTGGACGTTTTCTGCGGTTCATAATAATTCTTATTATATATAAATTTATCATATCAATACACACGCGCTTATCTCGACTTGAGAAAGTTACCGTTTTATAAAATGTGCTCAGCGGATTTGTAATATTTAATCACTGTTGCCACATTTAGTATAAATATAAAAATAAAATTATATTATATTATAAATAAAAACGGTAACCCTATAATTTGTTTAGGTTAACTCATAAGTAACATTTATCTATAGGTATCAATTATCATATGTTAATATTGCACAAGAACCTTTCAAAATAAAAGCGTATCATCAACATTCAAATCTAAGCAAACTAATTATAGTATTGCATATAACACATAAGTACTACTCGACTTTATAAAGCCAATACATAGTGTATACATTATACATAATATATACATATGATAAACCAACTAATCAAATTAACACTCTAACAGTAACACAGTATAATTAACACTAACAGTCGTCTAAAACAATATTGTATATTAATTAACCAATTTCTGTGTAATAAGGTTTTTTGTGCTGGATATTCAGAAAAACGTCCATAAGGAAAGTCTACGGGGAATAGCACCACACACACACTAATATTATATTATTGGGTTGTCTCACTGACGACGGCGTGGAACAATATCAAATCTTAAACCTAGTTAAACTCTGAAGGATTTGCTACAAAAAGATATATCTTATTAGCCTTCCCTTGTAGGTAGCAACGTTATGACAAAAACGTATTTTGTAAAGCAAATAATACTATCTGATCATCTAGACTCTACGCTGGTACGCCGTTCCCCTTCGATCGATAATACATTATATTATATAAATAATATGACCATACATAAGGCGACTAATTATGCATTAAGTCAGTACTTTACACGCATTGAACTTTCTAGAATATAAAATTTACAGGTAAAGTTTTTTCGTGACATAATTTTAATTTATAAATGGATTTGGGTATCGATTTTAAATCATTTTTTCATTCATTAATAACGATTATTATAAAATCAACTCTATACCACAGAATAGAATCTATTCGAAGCTTCTCTTAAATTTTAAACTATAATTATCACCAATATTATATGAGGTTTTGGAATAAACACAAAACTTATGAAAAAGTTAATTCATTTACGGATGCCCACGTAAGACCCATTTAGTAAAGAATAAAATTAATATTAAAAAAAAAGTGAAAAAACTTTTTAAATAACTTTAATATTGTTAAACAGTTAAAAATATTTAAATAATATTTTTACTTAATTTAAATAAAAATAATATTTTGTTTGAGCTCTGTAGAAATAATGCCTTTTTTAGTAGGTGTTAAAAACAAAAAAAAATAATTGGTATTGGCTCCGCGGATTTTAATCAATCAGTTTTAGCTTCGTATAATTTTATAATAATTATTTAATCACTATAGTATAGTAGTTTAATAATTATTTAGTACGTAGTTAAGTAGATAATATTAGTATAAAAGTAAAATGTATACATTTTTTAATAAAAAAATACCTAGTCTTACTGTAGTATTAGTAGCTAATTTAAGATTCAATTTTAAATTTATTTGTTCAACTCGAGTGTTCCCGTGCTTTATTACACGTCAAGTACTTCCATATTATTTAAACCTTTCCATTATAAAAAGAATATAATATTATTTAATTGTTATACATTGATACACTACAACCAAGGGCCCGGATGAAGTTCTGGGTAAAAATCATATTTTACATGTTAACAAAAAAAAATATTTTAAACTTTCTTTTTAAATGCGTGAAAACATTATCAGATTCTGGAAAGTATATTTAACTATGAAAAAAAACATATTTTAAAAGTTATAATTTATAAGAGTAAAATGTGGATTTTGCTCCAAACGTTATACGGTCCCTAGGTTACAATTATTACTGGCAAAAATTTAATACTTGCCCCTGATGCAGATATAGTCACATGGAAATCGGTATATTATAAAAAATACAATAAACTTAAAATGTTACTCATCAGTCATCGCATTACACCCCAAGCTCAACATAATTCCTTTCATAAGTTTTCAATTTTTACATGGCGCAATTAAGAAAAATTTGGAAATGCTTAAACGCTGAAAATATAAATAATAAAGTCTTCCCTTCGACCACAACTAAATATAATTTTTAAAATGAAGGGTATTAACTATTAAGCATACTTAAACCCATTTTAAATGTATGATTTTTATTATTCTTTTCAACAATAGAAACATTCTTTAAACTGTATTTTACTATTAATATTGATTGATATAATTTATCAACTGAAGCTGAAAATTACTAAAATACTTATTCATTGCTGTTACTAAAAATTAACTAATCTTTTTATTAAAATATTTTAGTTACCTTTTAGTTTTCTTAAAATTATTACTTTTAAAAGTTGTTTGATTTTTAAATTTTACTCAGTACCTTATAGGTAATTTAATTTATTTTCAGAATATGCTCATACCGATTGGTTAAAATTGTCTACTTATATTTTATATTGATTTAGTATGTAAGGAGAGGACTTTTCGTTAAGTCTGGAACGAGCTTCAATGACCAAATCTGTACTGAGCCCATCATACCATAATTATTTCTTATACTATCAATACTATGACTTTAAGAATAAAAATATATACTGTACATAAAAATACCATTTACAACTTGCGTGGGATAATATCGAACCAAGGGGCAAAAGCATACTTAGCTAAAAATCGATGGCTTCTCAACAGGTGATATTTACTCGGTAAAGCAGTGCCAATGAATAACGGGCGATACTAGGAAGCGGTTGGCGTCGGACATTTTTAAAACGCACCCGCTTATTGTTTTGGAAACATTGCTATTAGGAGATTTTATATCTCCTACTGTTTTCACTTTTCCGCTCCCTATCTCCTCTAATTATTATATAATAAGGTATAGGATAGGGGAAATTCGGAAGGAAGCCTAACCTAATGAATCTTAGTCCCGAAAACTCCCACGTAGAAATACAGGCCTAATTGCTAGTAACAATCAGTTTTATTAATAATTATATTTATTCCACCATGTAAGAAATATAAATATTTAATTGGGTTTAATGTATAATTATAAAAAACACAGAATATTTATAATGAAAAATCGTTAATTTTGAATATGTAATATGTGATCTTAGGACACTAAAACTGGAAACTGACATTCATTTTATAGCATTAAAACTACACATATGCCTAAAGTATTATACGAATTATGAAATATAGTGTGATTAATGAATAATCCACACTCGTTGTAACTCAAATTGTATTTTGGTTGACCAGTACTGTTAGGTAAGTTACCGGAGTTTTGAAATGTTATTTCAAAAGCTGCTGTCAAACACAGTTGTTCTCTTAAATGACTAATAGATAATTTAAAGTTTGAAAACTAGCAAGATGACCGTTAGAAGCATGATCAATATATCTTATCAAAATTTCATATTTAGTTCTCTGTGTATTAATATACTTCTATTAATGCAGTATATGTATGTATAAATTAATCATCAAACTTGATTAAATTCAATATTTATAATCAAAAACGTATTAAATTAATTTAAATTCGTGGGTATATGCGGTTTAGTAACTTAATTTTAACACAATAAATACAGAATTTCTAAGAAAAACATAATATTTTTCAATTAGTAATATTTATTCAAGACATTTTTACTTTTATTAACTATGAAAATATTAATACCCAATTAGGTACAAAGTTAGAAATATAATGATTTTTTAGATGAGAGTTGTAACTAGCTCCTCTAATGTTTAAACAGGATCGGTAGAAATATACATTGAACTTTCAATAAAGATATAGTGGTTCTTTTAAATAAAATATTTGTTTTATTTTTGATAGCTAGTAACTTAAAACTTTAAAATATGGTGTCTACATTGATTGAAATTTACTTTCAAACTAAAAAACATGTATAGTAATTTTATACACTTAACTATAATCTTTAACATTGTTTAGCAAAAACAAATTATTTTTCTAGATAACCTCGAATTTTCTTATGAAAATAATAGTGAAACAGTATATTTCAGTCTTAATTCCAAAAGGAATAACTCGGTAAAGTTGTAATTTAATAAAATGTTAATTACGCGAACCTAATCTAACTATAGACTCATACATCAATACATGATTGTTAATTATTCATTTATATTGTTCAAAAAAAGTTGTATTATTTTAAAATATAATAAAATACTTTAAACTGGTTAATGGTTATGACCAAAATATAATATTTATCCTTCATGGCCAATTTTATGGTAATTACACTGTTCTGGAGGTTTTAAATTCGAAATAAATTAATGTTTTACATACAAATTTGCCGAATTCTCGTGATCCACCTTGTATAGAAAAACATGTTACAGTACTGCTAATAATATTTTTTTATACTATTAAAACGTAATTATTCTGACAGGAGTTAACTCCAGACTCGTGTTCAAAACTAACCTTTTCCGTCAGCACCCGTTCAGGCGAATGGTCGCAATTAGTCTAGGTCCGTATGTATGTTTGGCGTTCAACTTAAACGGCGATAAGCAAACTCAATAATAAAATACTATAGTTAATAATGCTATATTAATTTATAGAACTGTCGTCAAGTATACACGCACAGTGAGATGAATAGCTGTGGATGTTTTTAAATACCGTCTGCGGCATAACATACCGTGACACAGTGTATATATAGGCAACCCACCCCTCGGGCACACATCCCTTCGCCACTGACGGCACTGTAGTTGTGGCTACACCCACACTAGTGGTATAGTGATGATGGCGGGCTCTCTTTACACGCGCTGCCGCATCGTCGTGGCCAGAAACACCGACAAGTCGACACAAGTTTGCATGAGTCGCGCCTCCTCAGAAGTTATCCGTCTGTAATGTGTTTTCTTTCGCCTTCGCATTCCACCATAGTTTGTACTTGGCTTAGCTCGTATGCTTACCGTAAGTCCACGCGTACGCCCCATGCACTTAAAACCATCGGTATCCATCAGTCTGCCCTCGCCTCTCTCCAAATCGCCAGAGGCTAATTATTATTTTCTTTTGACAATACTTCTACACGATCGTTTCCCACGAGCCCGATACGATATCGTAAACCTCGATCCTGTCTCGTTGACGCCGACTCTCTTACTAAACTGACATATTAAGTAGATACCAAGTAGAACCTAACCTGACCTTGATTTTACAACGTCTTCTCCGGACCGTTAATGTGTTTATTGACAATAATAAACTGTCTAGACTTTTTAACAAACAACAATACTATAGGACATCACCGTCTGCATCTCCGACTAAAAAAATCGACCTTTTCGGTCAAAAGTCAAAACGAATTCACTTCTCAGTTAATTATTATATAATGATTTTCTTGAAAAATATAATTTCAAATTAGTCAGTAATTTCATGACATTTTTAAAAATTGAATTAGATGTGGCCTAGGTGACTTAGTAGTCGTTACAGTATTTTGGTTGGCCAGAGTTGGATCATGAGAGATCGAGTTGAATCGAACATAGTTTTATAAATTAGTTATAATTTTACTCCATGTGTGGTAATTTTTTCGTTCGATTGAGAATCCAGCATATTATAGTTAATACAATATAGTCGCTTTCATTGAATTGTTAACGTGATAAAATTATTAAAAATGACTAGTAGAATAACTGTAGTGAATTAATACTTAACATTTCCCACATTTGATTATTATAGTGAAAAAATATCATTAAATTTAACAATAACCTAACCTAATTTTATTAAAATCGTAGCAACACATTTCACCGTACTAAGAATTAGTAGGCTGTAGTAAAGTAAAACATAATAGAAATAAAAATTAAACAAAAAAAATGACATAGGAAATCAGTTTGAAAAAAACCTGATATGGTCGAAGTACTATAATGTTGAATTTAAATTATACTTATGTACAATGATTCTAATTTAATCAATTTAATCAACTAAGATTTTGTTTTACCGTTATAAAATAACACGGTCATGGGTACTGTTTATTAAATTAATTAACGATTACACCATTTTTAACGATAACAAATTCGATTATAAATTTCAGTTAAAAATTACTATTCATTAAAATTATAACCCCATTAACTTTTAATGAGTACTATTTTGTAGGTTGATTTTAAATATTTAACTGAAATTTACGTAGCGACCTGTTTTCATTAAACAATGTTCTTTTCAAAGATTAAATAATTTAGTTTATTGATATTGATTAAAAGTCAACATTAAAAGTTATAATTACAACTTATGAATTAATTTAATTTATACATTTAATTAAAAGGTAAAGGTTTAATTTAAAGGTATACTTAATTTATCATAGGGTTAATAATTGAGTTATAAAAGACACTTAACTAATGGAACTAGTTATGATTTGTAGGACTCAAAACAATTTAAGATCTAAACATAAATAATTATATTAAAATACTTACACAACATAACAATTGAAAATTGATATAAAGCAAGATTATTCAACAATGAAGTTATAATACTTCAGCAATTGCCACGCAATAAAAGCTAACTTAATCTGAAGTGAAAAACTAAATTAATTTTTTATTATTAAATTTACTTGTAGAAAATATAATTAACTATAATACAATTTTTATATGAGTACCTTACTTACTGCAAATCACCATAATATAACTTACTCGATGACTACACCAAATTGTTGATTGTTAATAAAGTTAAACTATAAACTGAGGACAATATATTGTATTTAGATCAATGTTGGTAAAGTACGTGAAACTGTTGGAGTACATACGTTGAATTGATATATAAACTAAAATTCCCTATCGCATATAGAATAATTGTATACCGCACAAAACATCATGTAGTTTTGTTCGATATTTTCATGTGGGCATGTGCGTTATGACTTTACAAAGAATTTAGGACAATGAACTTTGAGCGGAAACCCACATAAGTAAGTGTATTATTTTTTTTCTAAAACTATTTGAGAAAACATGCAAGTTTTTTTAGTAAATTACACCCAATTTCTGGTCATGTAACTCAAGATAAACACCAACTTAACGTAAGACTATTTATATATTTTGTTTTATTTTAATCAGCACCTATAATTGTATCTGCGTAATGTGCACAAAATAATTTCAATTATTACATGTATTAATCGATCAAATCAGTATCTAACCCGCGGGTGTCAACATTTCTTTCTTCTCTCTAAAACACAGGAAAACACGGAGAGAGATTTGGTAATTTTTTTAATTTAAACTTCGACATACTATAACTGTGACAGATTGGTCAGACCTACCCGATATTTCTATCAAACGTTTATTATTAAGCAGCTATTATGATCTTAAATATCAGTTTATTTTTTAATTCATTTTTATAAATAATAAAACGTATATCTATACTTTTGAAATGATTAAAAAAACGGGAAATTGCTACAAATTACTTGTGTAAATATTAAGCTTTAGTATTTCTATATCAACGTTTAAATGCTAATACTTATATACCCAATCGAGTGGATTAAACAACAAACGGATGAGGTCATCTGGAAAAATGATTAAAAATAAAGATATAAATGGTATTTTAATGTGTTTGTTTAATTACAATTTTTATAATTTGTTTTGAGAAAATATCTTATTGAATGACGGAAATTTCATCTTAATATACTTTCTTACCTCAACGTCAACAGAAAAAAAATCATTTAAAAAATATAAATAACAGCTGTCCTGACCCGGCGTTGCCCGTGTATTAGAATAAACACACAATCAGCTGATCGCATCACTGTATCCCTGTGGTAATCAACTTAATCGAGCACACAAAGTTTCATAATAAAAATAATAGATAATAAAAATGTTAAAATAATGTAAATTCAAATGTTTCCAGAAGGGCACATAATTTTAATTATTTTTTTAGGATTCTAATGTCTTTTATTCAACATACTTGGTATACTATTTAGTTTAGTTACACTATTAAGTACCTACATACAATGTGAGTGGACATATAAAAGTTACAAGTTAATGATTTACAGTTTATCGAACAGTTCCAAATATAATATAATTTAAATTTAATTAAAATTCAAAACTATTATATACGTAGTCCGCTTTTTAAAGTAATATAAGCATACGCTATTTAATGTTTGAACGGAGTTTGTTCGCCGACAAAGTTACTTTAGAACCAAAGTGTACAAGATTTGGGACTGTACTCATTTGGATAAATTCCGTATTCAAAAATATATTTGAAGTGTAACTAATTACTTAGTTGTAGCATCAACTTCAAGTCAGATCAGCAGTTCTTATGCATACACATACTCACACAATTATTACTATAATATACACTATGCAGGTATAATTGGATATTTTTATTTTACGCCCATCGTTAGCCTGTGTAAAAGTGTGAGATAACTTCAGTTTTAGTACAGTTTAGGGTCATTTGGGAAGGACGATTGTCCGAGTGAGTAAAGCGGCAATATGTTAACGCTTCCTGTCGCTTGTAGGAAACTCGTCTCAGATGGCTTCGGTTGCTGTGCAAGAGGTCGTCAAGGTCCAGGGTAGGGTAAAGCAAGACAAGAATTGAAAATTGATGACGAGTTTTGTATTTAAATTTAACACAGTCTAATGGAAAATAAAAAATTAAAAGTTCTTTGGCCAAAAATGTCATAGTGAATAATGGATTTTTAAAACCCAGAGTATAAATTTATTTGTAACCGAATTTTTCGATATCCTAAAATTTCTGAGATATGTATATAATATTATAATAAATTAAATTAAGCTAAGAGTTACTAAGTTTACATATAAGATTAATTTTAGTGTTATATTAATAAGCGATTAGTGCTGTATATTCTGAATAATTAGAACATTTGACATTGAATTTGTATTCAAATGCAAGAATACATTTGAGAAAAGTAATTTATATTTATTAGCTATGTGTATGTGTACACTTTCGTAGCCAAATTACGTATCGTTTTTATAAATATAACTCTCCTTAAAATGAAATTGAAAGAAAGAAAAATAATTGTATTCTGTGGAATCGGGAAGAGTATGAGATTTAATCATATCACAAAATATAAAACTTAGCTTGATATGTTTTTCTAACTACGTCCCTGGGCATAACTGAGTACTTTATTTGTTTTGCGTACTGTAATCTATGTAAAAATTGCGTCAGGCATATTTTTATATTCTTTTAATATAATTTATACATTAATTGAAGTTATCTAAGAAAAAAAGTAGATATACATATTATTATAATACAAAAATAAGAAAATGCGTATATACTGATGACGGCCGAATTGATTAGATATAAATATGGAAATCTACTCTATACCGAGGGTGTGGATATACGCTTAATCACACGTGGTTAACTTGCATCGCATTCCTACGATGATTAATTTTGCAAGAGATAGATAAGATGCACATAATGTACATTGTTCAGTTTCTTAGCAAAAGTTTTACAACCACATAAAATACTAACGACTTCTCAAACAAAAGTTCTCATGATAGAAAACCATTGGGATTTGGGGTGTGTTTATTATCAATTAAGTATGCATAAATATATTATTAGTAAGTTTGTAATACTCGACAATAATGGCTACACCTTGACGGAGATCGCACGTATAATGTTCAGACATTAAACAATATTATAATTGGCAGTCATCAACGCCCACGCCGTACCATTTCTTTATAGGCCATGGTTT